CCCCCTCCCCCCCCCCCCCAGGCGCGCTCCGATTCGTCGCCAGGTCTCCCCCACCAAAAAAACACACATCTCCGCGCGGGGAAGTCGCCAGCGCTTGCGCCGCGATCCTCAACACGCTTTTGCTCGGGGAACGGAGGACGCTTCGGCCACCAGCGGAGAAAGCCTGCCCAACAACTCGGTGCGGGACTGACTTCCGAGGAAACGCGTCCCGGGGCGGGCTGCGGGGGTCAGATCCGCCCAGCGAAGCGCAGCTTCGATCCGACCTCAGCGCCGCCCCGGTTGAATTCGGACGGCCACTTGCCTGTTTTGGGACTCTCTCCGCAGGACGATCTCGGTCACTTTCAGTTCGGTGGAGCCGGCGGGCCTCTCCGGCGCCTGGTCCCAGCTCCGGAAGGAACCGAGCGCCGGCGCCGCCGAGACGAGTCCCCGCCAGATCGCGCAGCCACAAGATCCCCACAAGATCTTTCCAGCCTTCCAAGGCTGCCATTTCCCCGTCAATCGACAAGGTAGCCTTGAGCGATACCCTGACTAGTTGTGACTCCAGCTCCGGAGGAGCCACGTCGGGCGTCGGGAGGGGGGAGCGGGAGGCGGGGAGGCGCAGAAGCAGCACCGAGGCGCAGGGCACGATCCAGCCCCAGCTGCCAAAGTCGAGCACTTCTAAGCATGAGCACCCGGGCACACGAAAAAGGGAGTGAGCTCCGCGGAAGACAGCGAGGCTTACTTCCGAGTGAACATACCCAGCAGCAGGCTGCACGCCGGCTTCACTTAAATGACCTCGGGTGAGATGGACGGGACTTCAGGTAGCTCAGGTTCCGGCAAGAAGGTGCCCATGCAGTATCTAGATTTCGCTCGGATATCTGTTCCCTTTCTGTGCTGTGTTTCCAAGCATTCTCACTCCGTTTCACAGAGCACGCGTGAGCCTTACTTCCGAGTAAGCGCGCACCAGGTTGCCAGCAGTGAAAGTATAATTAAATAATAACAACGCTACATTATGAAACAGGTTGTGCAGAGCGTAAAGTTATAGTATGTTTGAACGCTCACCCTCGTCCCTAAAGTCACTTGGCAGTGAGTTCTATTTCCGAGTGTTTTTTAAATCGGATTTTAAGTACAGTTCAGGACGTGGGACTGGAATCTGCTGCGGGTCTATCGGGATCCCAACGGTAGTAACTTTCTTCTTAACCGCATCTGGGGGTTCAATCGGAGTTGCGAGGAATTAATGAGTCAACAAACCAATAAAAAAAATTTTACCCAGGGTTTTGTAATCCTGTAATAATAATTGTACGGAGAGGTATTCTTGTAAAATGGAGATCTCAATCGTAGTTTTATGAATACTGAAATCCTGCACAACCCCAGGCCGAGGCCGGGGATGTGAGACCACGTTAAAGTCAACCAGGGCCCGTGGATCGTCTCCATCTGTCACTCGGAGAAATATCCAGGCCTGATCCCGGATGAGGGAAAGCCAAGGGGGGGGGGAGTAAGAGCCGAAAAACACACACCGTTAGAAATGAGATGCGAATCAGGACTCTTCCAGGGCGCAATCCTAAAGATACTTTCAAGGGAGAAAGCCCCATGAATATACCTAAGTAGGATTCGGAGTAGACCCGTTTAGGACTGCTTTTTTAGGAGAGGGGAAGCTCTCCCGCGAGCCCCATTCAAGCGAACGGGGGAGAGTGTCTTTTTGAGCGGATCCATTCACTCCTACGGGTCTCCAGCAAGAGACCTCGAGCGCTGCGCCGCAGCTGCGCCAAATCTCAGGTCAGGATAGGCGCCCTCGCTCTACTTCGCACGTTTCAAATACGTGTTTTAAGCCATGCCATTTAAAGAAGGTTGCTTTGAAAAACAGAAGTTCTTTGTTTTAGTTGCATCTTTTTCTGTTGTTTGTTTCAATGGGGGGGGGCGTAGATAGGGGGGGAACTCGACCCCATTTCCTAGGAACCCGAATCCTTGAAACCCCCGAGGATTCCCTCCTAAAGAAGCGTGTTCTGGGGGGAACCGCGACGGAGACTCCGGCGGTTTCATTTCTGGGACGGCCGCCGCCTGAGCACACGCGAGGCGTTTGGATTACCCTGGGTCTCCGCGGAGGAGGAGGATCTCGCTCGGGGAAGACGCTTAATGCGACATGCAAGGGAAAGGAACCCGGAGAGAAGCGGCAGGCCCCGACGGGACTCGGTCGTATCTGCCCGCGCCCGTCTTGTCCTTCCGCGGGGCTTGCAGAATCCGTCGGGGCGGCTGAGCTGCCTGCAAGGGGCAGGAGTCCTCCTGGGCAGACCCGCCAACCCTCGCGTCCACCCGGCGTGTTGAGGACCGCGGCGCAAGGATCGGGCCCCGCAGAGCCGGAGTGGGGCGGTGGGGGTGGGGGTGTAGGGGCAGGAGTCCTCCTGGGCAGACCCGCCAACCCTCGCGTCCACCCGGCGTGTTGAGGACCGCGGCGCAAGGATCGGGCCCCGCAGAGCCGGAGTGGGGCGGTGGGGGTGGGGGTG